CAGCGGGAAGAAGAAGAGCAGAATCGGGAATGGCTGGGAAGGAAAGAAAGAAAGAAAAAGAAAAAGAAAAGAAGTCATCCTTATCCAAAATCTTTCCCTCTTTAAGTCCCTCAACTTTTGAAATATTCACATTAAGCCCCAAAACAATCTTTTCTCACAATCAAGTCCCTAACTTCCACTTAAATATTCCCAAAATTTTGGGATATTACACTCACCCCTCCTAAAAAGGAGTTTTGTCCCCAAAAACTCAAATTGAGGACCATTTCAAGTGGTGAGTGGCTTCACACAATCCGAGACAAAACAAATGTCCCACTCACTTTCTATGAACAAAATGGCCTACTACGCTTCCGCTGCGCCACTCTGATATCAAATCACGACTAATCTTAAAAGCAGAACACTAATTACTTAATAGGGTTTACCATGAAATGAGCTACTAGAGGCTGGGGTGATATGGGGAGCACAAGGAATAAAAATAAATCCTGCCAAAGCCACAAAAGAACAATTGTGGGGTTACGCTATGAACCCATCACAAGACGAGTTGACAAAGAATGGCATGGATTTAAAGACTAGTACAACAAAACTTTGAACTCTATCAAAGACGGATAAGCATCCAATGGATATATAGATCATGAATAATGAACGAGTGCATGGATGTCTTATACATTCTGCCACAAAACAAGGTTAACCTATAAGCAGGGTCATGTTTAACAAAGCAATTGGAATCAAGAAATAGATTTTAGCAATTAACAAGAGTTAAAAGCTAGGACCATCAAAAGACATATAAGAATCTCAAGAATTGCAACAAAATAAAATCAATAGAAAATATGAATACTTGGACGAATATCGGAACACAAGAGTGCAAGGTAGAATGCCTCAAAGAATTCAGCAACAAAACGGCACTCACCAAGAGTCAAGATCAAATTTAACCAATCAATCAAAATTGAGAAACAAGAGTTAACCATGAAACAAGCAATAGAATTCCAAAAATTAGGCCCACAAAAGAGATTTCAATAATGACAATCAGAACACGGATTCAAGAGCAGATATAACCAGGATGTCAGGATGTCAAGATCTAGCACCTCAAGTACTAGAATTAATTAACAGAACAAAGCAATGGCTGAGATCAAGATGCTTAGAAGATTCATGTCTTCCAATTAAAAGGGTAAACAAAAATCCAAGCAGCCAGATAAAAGAATCATTTCTCTTGCAACAAAACTCTAGGGCATTAGGTACTTCAAAGACTACCCCTTTCACCTCGTAGCTCATGGAGGCTAAACAGATTTACAATCAAGTCATCCTAGAGTCAAGTCAAAGCTAAGGCATCAAGAATACAGAATTTAACACTTGCAAGAGACAAGAATTTAGAATACCTCATATAGGTATCTTCTAATAATCGTCACCCCTCTTAAAGAGGTGTCCATATGAACAAAAACCAAGAATCAAGAAGATCAACAGGTATACAGAAACAAGAACGAGCAGAATATCCAAGATTTGAGCAAGAGCAATATACAGAATTTGAGCAAGAACCAGTGTCAGAACAAGAATGGTTTTCAAGGACAATTCAAACTAGATTCCAAGAACAATGCAAGAATTAATTTCAGACAAGAATCAAGATAATGAGGATTTCAATAATCATTATCCATTTCCTTTGGATTTCAATTTCAAGAACAAGAACAAGTACAAAGCAATCTCAAGAAAGATTCAAGATGGATTTCAAGAGTTTCAAGCAATTTCCAGATATCAAGAATGTAGAGATTGGCAACAATAGAGTTTAACTTTATGACAGTTTGCCAATCTTCACAAAACAAGGTAATTTCAATTGAATGATCACTGCTCTTGATTAACCAATACAGAAAAATGAGCCACATGAAAAGACCATGAAGCTTCAAATGGAAAAAGTGAAACT